TCTGACACAGCATGACCATCATCATCTTTACGAAAATGCGATTATGATGTTGGGCTGTAGCAAGGCGTGCCTCGGAACTTCTGCAGCGAGAGCACTGGCAAATGAAACCTCACAGGCTTGCACGAACAGAAGCTCTGCTACATGCGCGTGCGATATGCACACAAGGACACAATCAAAGCGGCTGACAGCCGGGGCTACAGGCTCAACAGATGCAAGAAGCATTTTGACCGCCAGAGAAGCCATCTGCGTTGGCCAGTAGGAAGCAGTAGCTCTTCACCCAGGTAGGAGATAGTGAGCTCCTGCATCTAGTGAATCTAGGCGGCGGTCCTGCTTCCTCTGACTTTGGTCGTCCACACCTCGCCCTTGCGAATAGGTCGCAGCGTGCGTAGTCCCCAGCGGCCGGGAGCGTTGGTGAACACGCAGTTGGGAGCGCAGCTGTGGTTGATACGACCTCGCTGCAGAGGGTTCAAACTAACCGAGGAACAATGGCTGCGGCATGTAGTCATTGAAATTTCGCCAAGGGGCTCATCGTCCAAAAGACCCTACCACCAGGAAAGATGTTCCTGAGAGGCTAACTCTCGAGAAAATCGAGAAAGCTAGTCATCCCCCTCCCTGCTGACAAAAGCAAGACTAGATCTCATTCGAGCAGCATCTCTGTCACCAGGATTCCGATTTGTAACCACTCCACCTCGAAGGCCTGACACGGGCTTCACACTCTCCGAAATCATCAGCATACCTACATCTCAGCCACGCATGAATACTTGAGCTGTCGCGTCTACATCTCCCTGCGATATACTTCTGCATGAAGCAGAGTCCTCGCAACAGAAAAAGCATTTTGAGGTCTTGCAGCCTGGCTGGGGCTTTGCCCGGCTGGATGGAAACAATCGCGCGACAGTTGAACCTCACTGACTCGACTTACTACAGATTATCACAGCACTGTCTTCGACCGCAATCTTCCTACATTCCGATTCGGAGATGAACAGTTCGAGTGTCTTACCACGGGCCTAGTGTGTCGGGTGTGTACGCTGCGGTCTTCCTCAAACCCATCACAGAATCAGCTTCTGGCCTTACATTCTGGCAACCGCTCTTTGCAGAGCTTTGCAAGTTGCAGAGCGACGTCGACAAGCCCGTGCTCCAAGTCCAGCGCAGGGAAGCTGAAAGACAACAGAGCACCTGGAAGAACATGATCTGAAAGGGTCTAGATTCTGTGCTGCGCCTGCTACAGCGCAATATCTGGGCCAACGGGGAAAGGGTCTGGATTCTGATTCACAGATCAGCAAGGATTCTCGAGCCTCGTAGGCTCTCCGGCATCTTTGCAAATCCGAGGACGTCCCGAACGAGGGCGGTACTTGCCTCGTGCAGGGAGTACTTGTCTACCTCTCTCCTTTCTCAGACTCTCTGTGGCCATCCTCCTGAATCACCACACCGGAGACAAGAACTTCACGCAATGTTGCGGTTGCGGCTCTCTCATCTAGCGATGCCGTAGACATGCCGGGATGCTAGCAGAGGCTTCTCCTTCTCGCTTTCTCCACCAGGCAGCCGCATCGGCGCTTTGATGCGAGTGAAGGCGGCGCTCCAGTCCTGGCAGCAAACGCGCTGAGAGTGGCTCGAAGCCTCGGCAAACATCCCTGCGCGGCTCGCCTCGTCCCATTCTGGCCGCCCGTGCAGCTCCGCGGGCGGCGTCCGGGTGTAAAAGGGCTCCTCCTCTTTGAAGAGACCAAGGAAAAGCACCCTTCACCCAACCTTTTTCGGCCCTAACCCTCGCCTCAAGGAGGATCTGATTCCCTGGGAGATCGCCAAGGGCGTAGGCGGACTTGCCCTGACCTGCGGCAGACGCAGGTCAGCGGGGGGTGTCGGTGTTAAAGTTCGCACTGCCTTCGGCGGTTCGGATCTCCAGAGGCCACGATGGAACACCGCTGGAAGTCGGAGGTGTGTGGCCACAGCTGAAAAGGAAGCAACTCTTGCGCCCAAACTTGCCTCAAAATGGAGTCAGGTGGCAAATGGTCTTGCTGGGTCGGGGCCATCACGGACCGTCACGCAGACAAGCGGCGAACCACGAAACGCATGCAGCAGCGTTTGTCGTCGCCTGCACAAACGACTCCCAGGCTCAGAGCCGGTCAAATCAAGGCCGGATTGCGGGTTCCGCCTGTGATGAGAGGGATCGACACTTCTTCACCGGGAGCCTGCACCGCCTGAGACCGAGACGACATACAAAACTCAGAGCCAGAAGACCCTCTGTGGATCTCTGTAGCCTCGATGGCTGCTTCTGCTTCAGCTGCACAGCCCTCGACCACAAGCGAGGTCCAGGCCTTCGGAAGCAACTTACGATGGGGAGAGCAGCAGCCTTGCTCTCTGGGTATCTCTTCATCTCTCTGAGCACTAACTCCCCTTCAAGCCTGACCCATGACATCTTGCGACTTTCGGCCAAGCACCTGGCAGTCACCAAAAAGGAAGGCACCCTGGGTAGCAGCTGCAGCCGATGAACAAGGCCTCCTCTGCCCGCTTGTTCCAGGAAGTGATAATGCCCCCTTCCTGGCGGAGTGATGGGGCTTTCAAACATGCCTCTTTTGTTCCTGGTCACCGCCTTGAAGGAAAAGGACAGCTGAGACCAGGATCGCCTTCTGCGGTGGCTGCCAACTTGCAAAACTACATGACACCTACACCACAGAAGCCCGCTCAAAGCAACAAAGGCCCCCAAAACTTTAGGGTCGCCGCTCTATGGTGCTCTTGTCCACTCTCTTCTCCGCTGGGTAGGCAGGCATTCTGCACTGACATTGCGCCAGAGACTTGCGAGCTTGTGTGAGTTAGCAGTCGGTCGTTGCCACCACAATGGTTTTTGAAGGTATTGGGAAGCATCAGAAGCAAGCCTGAGGAGATGACCCCCATGTGTCTTGGAAGCAGACATGGCTGCTCGAAAAAGAGAAGTATGCAAACATGCCGCACATGCCCCCCAGCCAACTGTCAACTGTGCCGGGATCCTTTTTGACACCTTTGAATCTGCGCGCAATGCAGATCCGCATCACTGACCTAGAACAAGCGGGCGAGAGAGTCCCGACACAGGCTTGAACCGGCTCCAATTCGAGGGCTCTGCGAAGTTGGTTCTGGGCCTCATGCGAAATCGCTTCCGGAAGCGTTCGAGCGCGGCATCGTCGGTGGCGCTCTGTGCATGGAGGCTGAACCGTAAGAGTACAAAGTGCCCAAACAACCCCGCGGCAAAAAGTTCGGCAGAGCGGCCTTGGAGTCGTCGCGCCGATCGACGTTCATGAACCTCCCAAGCAGAGAGGGAGCACCCTGCTACCCGTTGGACCTCGAAGACACTTCAGAAGACGAAACGCGCCTGGATCCAAATGCCTTCCTGGTAACAGCATCGGTCTCGATGACAGCTCCCCTGTCCAATCCGTTTGTGATTCTTCGGAGGCATGGCTTCTCATGGCTTCTCCAAGCGTGCACGGCAGCACGGCTTGGCGCTCGCTTGTTCGCCGTAGAGGTACTCGCGCTTAGCCTTCTCCGTCGCCTGCACGAAGGAAAGTGAAGCGGAAAAAATCCGTGTCGAAAGAACCAGGCCTCTATGTTCTTGAGCTTGTACTCGACAGGCAGGGCTACCTTTCACGTCACACCGCCAGCTGCAAACAAGTCAAACAACATCTCATGTGACTCACCATGCAAAACACCGGATACTACAGGCCTCCGCAAGGCCCGCAACCCAGCTCATCCTTGGCTGGCACTCAACAGCCGGAAGGTGAATATCAACATTCAGTAGGACCCTCTCCTGAACAAGCCTCACAGGAATGCTGGTAAAGTCTTTCAATGACAACCTGCCAAACCCTCAAGCGGAGCAGCTTGTCTGCCTGGCCCTCCGCTGCATCGGGAACCTGTCAGAGACATCCAGAGACTGCGCAGTGAAACCGAGGAAGCCTACCTCAAACAAGGGCAGCATGGCTGACGGTCCGAATTTAGCAAGTCTCAGCTCTGGTTGTTTTGTAGGCCCGTCCCACTCAGATCAGATCTTCATGCCACGCCTGCAGGTTCGCCGGCACCTCGTAGAGACGCTCCTCGCGACTCTTCTCTATCTCGGGCTCCTCCTGCTCCTGCACAAGGCCCAAGCCAAGGCCCCTCCGAGAATGCAATCCCGGAGATCCCCAACAGGAACAAGCCTTTGTCTTACACTTGCATGATGCAAGCATCCAGGCATCTGGAATTCTTGAAATGGATCACAACACAGTAGCACTGAAGCCAAAAGACTGCCTTGCGCTTGTTGTAAAGGCGCTCGTTGAGGTAAGCCTGCAAAACTCGACTACCAACTCCGGGCAGAGTTACCATGAAGCTTCACGACCTCGTTTGCTCTTGGTCACGAGCATGCCCTAAACACACCGCACACCTGGAGCATCCTTGTCAAATTCGGCTTCATTCTCTGATCCCGTCGAGTCCCAACGACGACCCCGAAAGCATCTCAAAGCCCGCGGCCTCCAAGTGATGGTCGGGTCCCTTCTGACCAGCTGTGCCCGAGAATGACTTTTCCAGGAGACCCCACTGCTCCTTGTCCTCCTGGTATCAACTGGTCGGATCTCGAGCACCGAAACAGGCAAGAGCAGTTCATGCCTCCTCTTCCTCTTCCTCCGGCTGCTTCATCATCTCGGGCACCGGCACCACCTGGCACATGCGGCCACGTTCTGATCCAAAGCCTCTGCTCTGAAGGCTGTACGAAGGAGAGCCAGGCAGGCTCCTCTTGGCTTTCCCCACTGCTCCTTCTGAACAAGTCGAACCTGCAGCTAGGGACGTCCAAGTCCAGGGTTTTGGACTAAGCTGGGCATCGAGGAAAGGCCTCTTGGAGCTTTTGCTGCTCCGCGGTCTCGCTGTCCTGCTAACAAATCAGACTGACTCTCGCCGCCAACGCTGAAAACCAGACAACTGCATGAACCAGCCTCATCGTCATCGTCATCTGCCTTTCGCCGCGTGCCTGCATGATGACCACTACACCAAACTGCGTCAGCTTAGCATGCTTTGTGGTGCAAGAACATGTTTGGACGACTATGCCACAGCTGGTCGACTCCGCTGGACCGAGGACCGAGGTCGGGGCAAAAGCAGTCACCTGAGAATCCCGCCCTTTGGCCGGCCACGGTTCTTGAACATGGCGGCGACTCCGACTAGCTTTAAGATCAAGTCTTGTACGAACACATGAGACTGTAGCTTCCATGCAAAGATGAGGACTGTACGAGCAGGTTGGCATGACAAGTAATTGCCGTTTCACAAAGTTAGACATTATGCTTCCCGTTCGCACTGCACATACTGGTTCTACATAAGCTACCGTCTGGCTGAACGTGCTGTACGTTCCAGGAACCTTGCAGCTCAAAATCAACAGAAGAAGCGACAAAATATCAATGTGGCCACCGTTTCAAGTTCACTCGCAGCTCTGTGGCCCTTTACTTTCTACCCACGCAACCACCTCCGTGTGCACCTGCCGAGACTTACACTGAGGTTGCAAGCGGCCGCTGCACCCGATGGCCATAAGAAGGGTCTCAGAAACTGTGTAGACCTTTGGTCTTCGAATTCCGGAAACCCACTGATGGAGCTTCACATGCTTTCACAAGCAGCGCGGATGAAAGAGCCGGACTGGCCGTTTGCTGCAGTAGAACTAGCTGCTTCGCGCCACCGCGCCGCTCCACTCATTCAGCGGTATAGCATGACACAACATGCCTGCCTGACAACGTGCGCTGTTTCACGCAGACTTCAACTGAAAATTGCTAAATGCATCCTGGCTTCTCAGCCAAATATGTGCAATCAAGTAGATAGGAAATCAGAGACCCCGCTGGGATCTAAGCCTCTAAGCTTTCCAACAAGCCAAAGATGAGAAGCGACCAGAGCCCGAGGAAGTCCCTTGAGGACTCGCCCTGGTAGTCTCGACCCAGCACTCTCATATGCACTCCAGAACGACCCTGAAGATCTCTGAAAACACTCATAGCTTGGATGCAATCAATCGCCGAACTGGAGTCGCCTGCATTGGAGTGCGTTTGCAGGTGAAACACATGCAAGCGAATTTCTATGAAAGGGAACATCACAGCACTAGGCAGGTTCTGATGTCCCTTCTGTTGAATTGCAGCTGGATGACTGCGCAGTCAGCACCACATGTCAAAGTTGTGGGATTTGGGAGCTGCTAACACTGTGTCAAGTGAAGTCCCTTGCCCTACTTCTAGCCACATAGCGAAGCTCGTCACGGGGCTACACGTCCCAAGATCTTTGCTAGCACAGCCTCCAGTTCTCTCATGAAACCGGTTGTCAACACCTGAGCACAAGGCACACGAATGATTGTTGCCCCATGCACGAGCCCACCCTGATATCTACAGGGAGGATGCGGCATTCTGAGGCCCCGGCAGCATCAGCAAGGCAGCGAAGAGAAGAACAAGGGCCTTGTCTGCTAGAATGCTGTTGCAGACAGCTGTCAAGCTGGAACTTCATAAGCCTTTGACTTGCAGGGCTGTACCGAAATGTACTGAATCCAGCTGAAGCTTGCCGTGAAGAGCCGTGGCGATCATGCAATGTCCACCGAAATCATCGAAGCAGTAGGTGAATGAGTCGGGCCTCTACGTGGAGATACTCGGAGGAAGGCTCCAGGGGGCAGGAGGCCAGGGACGTGTTCTTCGCCTTGCCGAGGCACTGGAGCAGCGGTGGTGGCTTTGCTGGAGATGATCGCACGATCCTGGAAGGTCGGTATTGCGACGCTGTGCTTGCGGTGTCCTTCTTGGGACCCGGCCAGAAGAGTCTCGTTCAAGTGAACATAGACGCCGACAGGTGCCAAGCCAGACTCCAAGACTGCGTAGACGACGAAGCCCGTCGCAGCTGGAGCAGTCAAAGTCGACTCGCAGATTGCTCCGGCCAATCTCTTAAAGTTGACTGAGCTCCATGCTGCTCGGTTTCCGGCTGTCTATGCTGACACGATACACGTCCGTCCTGCGCGAAATGCTGCATACGTGCTGCATGCGATTGTTGGACTCTGGGCTTTGAAAGCCACCTGCAGCAGGCATCGCCCAGGCCAGACACAGATCTGCCCAGAGCCTTCCGAGAGGCATTTCTACCGACACGTGCTCAGTTTCGGCCACCTAGGGCTGAAGAGCCCGAAACACTGCTGGGCCCTTGTGTAACCGTCCCGCAACTTTCTGTATCAAGCGCACCTGCTGCTCCACGCGATCTTCGCAGCTGTCAGCCCAATAGACTTCGTACCGCAAGACGTTTGCCTGTACGACGTGAAGGCAGTCGTTTGTGTTTCTCTCTGGTCTTGCACACATAAAACTGAAGCCCACCTCGTCCACGGCAGCACCCACCAATGCTGGCCCAAAGTGAATGTGCCCACGCGCCAGGCCCTGTGCAGCTTTGCGAAGAATCTACTGGAACTGAGGACCGGAGTGGAATTTACGCCGCCAAATGAACGTGGCTCGTAGACCCCGTCAAAAAACATCAGAATGCAGAACGATTTTCCTTAACTCATCGCAACGTTGCACCTCACCAACGCCCCTGGATCATTACGATAGCAGCGATCACTGTCTTAATGGGGCGAGATGATACATCTGCACATGGCCATATATGCCATATCATATTAGTGGAGCTGAGTACTGGGTAATGCCAACACAAGTCGCCGCAGCAAGGCCTCTCCGGTGCCTTCGTCCTGGAAAACCGCCTGAATCCAGACATGTGCGATGGCGTTTCGCTTATGGCAGTGACGCTCTTCCGGCCTCGCAAGCTAAGGGGATCGCACAACCTGTCCAAAGGACAGCAGGTATGTAATGGTATGGGAGTCATGGCTTTGCGTGACTTCGGTCGTGGCATGGGCCTGTCATGAGCGGATCCACAGTGCATTCGGGGCCGCTGCCTTGGCAAAGTTTCGCGAAACAGACCTCTGTGTTCCGCTAGGGATCGTTTGCCAGAGAAGCCTCGTGCTATGACAGGCACGATGATGATGGTGATGATGATGATGACGACGACGACGACGATGATGATGATGATGGCGGTGATGAT